TGCTTTGTGTCTCTAGATGAACATCAGCTGTGTTTACCTCCTCTTCAGTAGATATTGAATCTGTTGGCGACTTGTTAAGATCGAAGTCTGCTTCATTCGGATTCTCAGNGATGTATTGATCAACCCAGCAGGTAAATAACTCAGTTCCATATCGGCTAACATATCTTCTTCCATATCATAATCCTCCAACACCATTCTCTTTAAATCCTCTAAGGTAGAATTTGCTTCCAATAATTGTAATCTTCCCCCTCTGTCATCAGCCGAAAACACCCACCCCGTAGCACCTACTTCCCATACACCGCAAGTAGCATAGATGTGCATGGTACAAGAAAATTTGTGAAAATCAAAAGAAACACAATGGAGGGAGGTTGGTTAAGAGGGTTGAAGAAGCTATGGTTTTTTTGGCGTCAAAATTCGTTTCACACACATAAGGAAGGTGGAGTTATGGACAAATCTTTTTGAATATTTTCCTAGATTTTTTCCCAAATTTTCGGAATTTTGTTTAGTTTTATCCGTAGAAGGTACCTTCTACACAGCGTAGACACACAAACATGTTTCGAGAAGCACATTCTACTATATGTAGACATCTGCGTTTTAAGTAGAAATCGTATTCTGACATTCGTAGAAGTGGATATAAACGTAGAACCTACATTCAGATTATTTGTAGAAGTCTTTAAAAACGTAGAATATGGGTTTTACAAACTGTAGAGATAATTGGTTTACGTGGAATATGCGTTCTACAAACTGTAGAGATAATTGCTTTACGTGGAATATGCGTTCTACTATGCGATTTTTCGTAGAATGTGAATTCTACTCTCCGTAGAACGTAATTAAAATTTTTAATTTACCAAAATTTTGAAATTAAAAAAAATATCAGTTTATGTATATAGAAATTTAATCACTTCTGTGTATTTTTAAATATTTTTTCGAGTAATAGAACTATTTATTTTATTAATTTTTATAAATGGAAAGGGTAAAAGGGAGAAAAAATGGTCAAAAAATATGATATACTAAAGAGACATGAGACCTGTTTTTTTGTTCTATATTAGCATAATTCCCCTAAATTATTAGTAGGACTCATTTATTTTATTCATTTTATTTTCTTCACCACATTTTATTTTTAACTCAGTTTCATACCACCTTTACAAGAATAGTAGATAACTTTATGACCGTCGTTGAACCTCAACTGATCTCGAGTTCCGCTTGCTGCTACCGGTGCCGCGGTATCACTTTGTCTCTTTCTCTATTCCAAGCCACGACCACCGTACCAAGATTTTACGGCCAGATCTTCATCTCCAAAATGAAGCTCACATCTAAACCTTTCCTCCGTCAACTATGCTCAGATCTGCCGTCGTTGTCATACTCGGCTCCACCGCGTGGCCAGGCTTTCGTCAGAATCAAGCTTGTCGTCACGAGCTCCGGATCCGCAAAGAGAAAGCACGTTAGCTTCAATGGTGGATTTCCTCATATTTGCATATACAGTCCCTAAACTTCTGCTCCTTTACAATTTACCCCCACATTTTGTAAATTGCAGATACACTCCCGCGAATCAACCTCTGAGTTTCTGAAAGTGCACTTTAGACCCTGATATATGCAATATGCATTCAAATGCAATATATACACCTAATATGCAATCTAAATGATCAATATGAACAAGGAGATCCTAAAAACCATTAAAATCATAACATATCAGTGTACACCTTTTTGATGTCCATATGTACATCAATCTCATCGTATACAAGCACCTAATCGTTCGACATATTTTTTATCATGGATAAACCCAAGTTTCTTACGTAAATACAAATGTGTACACTAACACGTGAGAGTCGAGAAGAGTTATGGTGGACCAAATATCACATGTGTACACTAATAGTTTTATTTTTCATTTTTTGTCATTGGTACATTAATACATTCAAATTGAGGATTTTGGTGTTTTGTAAAGCTTTGTTAAGGTGTACACTAACACATGTATACATGTGACCTGGATTGTGTACATGTGTACAATCATGTATATGTACAACTAGGAATGTGTACATATGAGATGTGTACACAATATTAGATGAAGGTTTGGACATGTATATGTCGTTTGGTGACAAGTTAGGATATCTCATTTTCCCATAAAAGTACATTTAAAAAAATAAACTTTGAAAATAGAGATAGACATCCATCTTTATATGATAAATTAAGATATGTACATCTTCTAGAAATATTCACATATACGCATATTCCACAATATTGCTTGTACAAGAAGCATAAAGGATCATTACATATACACATATTCCAGAATATCACTTGTACAAAAAACATAAAGAATCCAATGATGTAACGTAAGTTGCTATTGGAATGAAGTAGTATTAGAACATGTTCTCATAAACAAAAAAATTGCTACATTTTCATGTACAAATCATGCAGAGCACATATATTTCATTGTACATGTGTACAACTGTTTCATAAAAATTTATGTGAACACTATTACATTTGTATATTGTACAAGTGATGTGCAATGTTTTAAGAGTTTTATCTAGAGAATATTACATAAGATCTAGAGAAGATCTATTAGATTTGATCATTATAATGTCTAGAATTTGCGTTTAGGCATCATTAGAAATTGTATGTACATATTTTGTATACACATGGGCTGTAATGCACAATCAATAGTTCTGGGGCGATATCAAAGACCTTTCTGAACAAAACAAAAGTTATGAACCCAAAAGAAGTTTGTCAAAAGCGCAGGGACCAAAGTGCAAAAACCCAGAAATTGGCCATGGTTAATTCTTCTGCACTGATGGAGTTGAGGCGATCGATGGTGATGATCGACCCGCTTGATCTGATGCTCTCCTTTCACCATCATCAGCCCTGACCTTGTAAGATCTCGACTTTGATGGCCTAAGCGGCAAGAAGACACGGCGGTTGAGAATATCAGGCGAGAGGAGAGATCGATGGTGAATCAACATAGGAGATCGATGGTATACTGGTGTCTGTAGCTTCTAGATCTGAATACAGAGTCGCCATCTACTCCGAAAAAGAGGAGCTGGGTCGGCATTGAAACTTCAGACACCTTAGAAGAGAAGACATGTGGAGAAGGAAGACCACTACAGTGGATAGAGCTCACCGTGGCGGGAGATTCTGGTGAAGTAGTCCCGGTGTATGTTATGGTTAATCAGTGAATCATCCACCATAAGCTGAAAATTTTCAGTTTAACTTAAAAAAAAATAGATGAATAAGGTAAAAAGAACATAGAAGAGAATGAATGGGGACCACCAATTATTATATGGTTCTGTTTTAGTTAGAAAATATAACGAAATAGAACAAATAGTTTGAAAAAAGTGTGTGCGTAGAACAACGTGACCCATCGTGTTATTAAGAAGTATAAAAGTGACCTCTTATGTAATATTCTCAATTTAATATATTTGAAAGAGTGACAAAAAATTGAGCATAGCCTTAGCTCCGACCTGCCACTTTGGCGGCGTCGAAGGCGAAATCCCTTTTTCTTTTGTTTTCCTTTTCCCATTCTTAGTCCAAGTTGATATGTTTTTTTTATAACGCGAAAGTATTTTTTTTGGAGCACTAGAGATCTAACAGAGATGAGCACTGACTTCGATTGGACAGGCGACAAGACTGTGGTGCGGATAAAGCGAGGAGAGTCGGCGTTTAGGACCGAAGGTATACTTAGATTGAATTTTTCCCTTTTCAGATCTAGGGTTATACTTTCACGTTGGTGACACGTGAACCAGGTCAGACAAATCCAATACCTTGGCTACTTCTTCCTGGTGAGGCGGTCTTAAAGTGTACAAGAGAGATGCGATTAGAGATTAGTTAAATGTCTTGATGTGAGCTTCGAACCAGTTGGAAGCTTGAAAGTGACCAGCTCGCGTCTGTCACCACAAGGTCCGACATTCATTCCAGATACCATTCCGGCCTGGCCTATCAAACAAGGTAAAGATCGACCGCATCATCAACTAAACCTGGAACGCGCCTTTTGGCGATTTGTTGTTGGAATACAGATTCGAAGCTCATCATTTGGAACCATCACACATGATTTTCTTTAGAAAATAGGTTGGGTTTATTGATAGCTTGTCCTTTCTTTGTCTCGGTTTGTTTGGCCTTTTTAGGATTTAGGTTTAGTCGGACGTCCCTATGTGGCTAGGGACCGAAGCAATGAAAGTCAATGGATACAAACTGCCTTCGGTAACGCGTCTGTGGTGTTGATGATAATGGGACTTGAGCAGAACTCTCACCTTATGGTACCTACCATAGCTAGTTGAAAAATTTAATACTGGTTGTTAGGTAAGAGTCATTGTGTTAATAATTGCTTTCAAGTCGAGTGGTTTAATGTTAGAGGTTTAAAGAGACAGCTCCTTTCTGTTAGTGGAAAGAGCTTGTTCTCATTGGGTTTAATTACATCAAAGTATAGATTTGGTAGCATATGATCCAGCTAGTGATCTTAGGTGATATTGAATCACTTTATATAAATGTGGTTCAATACTTTTGTGGTACAAATTATGTAATCCCTATTTGGTTAATGTAAATAGATGTTGAGGAAAATATATATATATATATATCTGAAAGACAAATATCTTCATTTTTACCTCGCAAATTATTACTTGCCATTAATTTCCCATTTTTTCAATTCATTTATTCAATACATTCGCAAAACAGTTTATTACTAAGAGCAAGTGCAACAACGTATTTAGCCGATCCTTAGCTGCATAGGTAAATCAGATTAAAAGAAAATTAATAATACACCATTTATTAATGAGCGGTACGTAATTAGGGGATTAGAAGGATTGAATCCTTATCGACGTGGCACTTCCTCTCCCGTCTTGCTCTCTCCCTCGTCCCCCGAGACATCAGCTACTCTCGCCGCGTTTTCTCCCAAAGAACCAACCCAACTCTCTCTCACTGCAACACAATGATCAGAGCCTTCTCCCTCAGCGAAACTCTCTCCCAAGGCTTCCTCCTTTTCCGTTCTCTCCGACAGTCTCCTGTTAACCATTTTTATGGACTTATACTCAATCTTCAAGAACAGTAATGACGCTTGTAAAGTGTTCGACGAAATTCCCAAGAGAGATATCGTTTCTTATAACGTCCTCATCACTTGTTTCCTCCGTTTGTTACGTACACGTGACGTTCTTTATCACTTTGATAATATGATTAAGAACGGGTCTGTTAATAAACCAGACAGTGTCACGTGCTTACTTGCTCTACAAGATTGTGCGTGCGTACAACTTCAAATGGAAGAAAGAAGGTGAATAAATCGTTTTTGGGATGATGTGGATGAATCAATGACTTACTATTTTTATATCTCATTGAGCTTTTGGGGATTGATTCATAACTCACAGGATGTTGCAGATTCTGTTCACTTTGGATGTTGGGCTTGTGATTGACACTGTTGTTATACCTTGTGACCGTGGCAGGACAACAGTTTGTGTTTCAAGCCAAGTGGGTTGTGCTATGAATTGTCAGTTCTGCTACACTGGCAGGTAAACATATATATATATATATATATATATATATATATATATATATATATATATATATATATATATATTCTCTTGAGTTGCTTTTGAGTCCTGGTGTGGTGATGTATGTAGTTTATCTGATTTTTTTGCAGGATGGGTTTGAAGAGAAATCTCACTGCTGCTGAGATTGTTGAGCAGGCTGTTTATGCGAGCATATTGCTTTTGATGAAGTTTGATATGCTCACATTAACCTTCAAGCTACTCTCTCTCAAATAAGAGGTTCAATGTAGTACTTGAGGATCGAATCCACAGAGACCAAATTTTACACTTTATAATTATAGGATCAAAATTAAGGTAAAACAATAAGGGGTTTTAAAATAAAGAAAACGTAAAAGCAAGTAACAAGTTGGTTTGGTTTCAGATTATAAAAGAGCTAGGTTTAGGATGATTCATCGGGATACTTAGCATCATGAACTACACAACTATTCAGGAAAGCAATAAGAGCCAATCTAGAACTTGAACAACAAGGTTAAATAAACCCACTGTCGTGGTGTCTATCAATTTATCAAACAATCCTAATACCTAAACTATCGTTTGGATTATACACTGATGACAAGCATTAAGGTCAGGTTCAATTGGTTCACGAATTGCCCTAACATCTACTCTCGCTGGCTAGGGACAAATCGCCTATCTATGCCTTTTCTAGCAACCTAAAACACTTTTGATGATTAGATTAAACCTGATATCAGATGTTGAATGGCCAGTTTAACACAAGCAGTAAGTATAGCAATATATAGAGATATCAAAGAATAACAATCCTATTTGTGTCTAGCTCATTGATCCATGATCCCTAACACCCTAAACCTAACAAGTGACTACTCAACCATGAACAGAGAAATCACAGAGAATAGAGATAAAGAAAACATGTCTGAATCAATAAATAATAAGCAAGAGGGTTTAGAAATCTTCTCCAAAGGTTGTAGAGATCCTTCTCCCTCAAAATTACAAAGTATTGAAATCACAATAATCCAAAAGCTCTAGAGTTGTTTCTATGTAAAAAGTAGCGTAGTATATGTAGAAAATAGGAAAAGAAGATATATGGAGACTGCTGGCGGCTGGGAGAGAAAAATAGGAGAATTAGGGCAAATCCCGAAATATGTTGTATTTCCCTTAAAAATCTCTGCCGCAGGAACATGCGATTCAGGCTGCTCCGCTCGCTCGGGAACAGTTTGCAGACTGTTCTTCGTGAAAATCATCAAATTGCACTCTTTTTCTCCAACTGGTCCATCTTCCATCCAAAGCAACTCCATACCTGTAATGACTTGAAAAGGACTAAAAAGACTCGATAAAGACTCAAAAACACTTTAGAAAACATTGTTAGAATATGTTAAAAACACCATATATCAAAGTTGGGTCAATCACAAATGTTGTGTTTATGGTATGCATTTAACAGCATTACTTGTGTCACATTACAGTTTTTCCTGAAGCTGATATGAGTGTTTATTTTTAGGGAATGGGAGAGCCATTTCACAATATTGACAATGTCATCAAAGCTGCAAACAATGGTGGAAGGTCTTCACTTTAGTCCACGCAAGGTCACAGTCTCCATTAGTGGTCTTGTTCCTCAGCTGAAGCAACAACCGATGAGGTTTTTCTTTAACTCTTGTCATCATTTCATGATCTATGATCTAACCTCGTTGAAAATGAACCTTGCAGGTTAGAAACTGGATTATGCCTATCAGCTGAAATACAAGTTATCTTTGCTCCTTGAGACGCTTAGAGAAGAACTCAATTCAATACACAAGTATAAAGTGTTGTTCAAATACGTGACGCGTGATGCTCGCAGGAGTAAATGATAGGCAAGTTACAAAACATGACTAGAGATCTCTATGTTTTCGCAAAAGAATTATTCAATTTTTAAAAATTAAATATTTTTTTTTAAAAAACTCATAAACAGAATACACCATTGGACACACATTTTTAATAAAATTTTTTACCTATTTAAATAAAAAAGATTACTTTAATATTTCTAAGGATTCCAAAAGTGTAAAGAACCTACCAATCTTTACGTTGCAAGAATGGCTTCTGCACACTAAAGCGGACACTCTTACATTCCATGGTCATTTGTAAGGTAGATCTTCTGGTTAAATGCCTACTAGCTTTGTTTTGCTTTTGCTTCTCTACTAATGAGACTTTCCTCTTATTTGAAATGAATTAGTTCAGTGTTAAAAAAACAGATACACGCTGTTGTATGGTCCAATATTTTGTTTATGGTTTCATATGTTTTTTTTACCGTGAAACATTACTCAGCACAAAAAGCGAAACAAATCATAGCAAGTTTGAAGAATCTATTTGTCCGTAAGAAGACAGCAACTTATATAAACGCAGTTACGCAACGAACGATGATGGTATCAGATTCTGATAACTCAAAAGAGAAATAGCTCCTAGTCGTAAACGTATGGCAACTGTTGACGCGGTTTAACTGGTATTGAATAGATTCGAATTCTTATCGTATGCTTCAAACGAAAGCATCTTTTAAAACACGTGGATTATTCCACCGAATTTCGATTTGTTTTATTATAAGCTCTTTGGGCTGACGTTATATATGTACACGTTTTGAAGATTTCATTGTCTCCAACTTTGATTAATGATCAATTATTTGATCTCGACTCTGATATGATTGGACATATATATTTAGGAACAGTTCTTCTGAAATTATTTGAACACTTCTTCTAGATTTAACTGATGTCAAAATCATTTTAATAAATATTTTATACGCTGTCATCTATATATTATTTTTGAACCAATACTATTCAAGGATGTGATACAATATAGATAGGTCATAAGTGTAACAAGCAATACGGCTACTATGTCACACAAGTTATATAAAATCCAAGAAGAAAAAATAATTCATCAAGAAACTATATAAAATATCGAATATATAAGGGAAAATAATAAGTCAGATCTCATAAGCACCATACTAATTGACCAATTCTCTATAAGAAGTCATTGACAGTTTGATTAGCAGACAAGCTTAGAGATGTGCCATTAAATAGCCACATTAGCTTTCAAATCTTCATAAAGACACATCTTTGAAAAGTAAAAGCATTTCTGAAAGAATATTACATAGTTCAAAACTAACATAAATAGATCTACCAAATACTTTAGATTGAGAAAATTAAACCCCTCCCTTCAAATCGAATCAGCTGAACTGTTTCTTTCTTCTCATCAATACCAAATTTTATTCCACAGATACAACTAGTCCATACATGAAAAAAATTTAAACATTTTAATTTTTTTCAAACTATTCGATTAATTAAAGGAAACATAGAAATACAACTAGTCCATCATACATGAAAAATACTTAAGCATTTTAATTTTTATCGAACTATTCGATTAATCAAAAGGAAACATAGAAATCAAAAGACTTATTCTGCATAAACCAATTATCGCCACCATCATCATCATCACCATCTCAAAAGTCAAAGTCCTTGAACACCTTCTTGACTTGTTCAAGCGTAACAAACAAAATCACCGTGAACGGTGCTTGTCTCGACACCGTCGGCCAAAACCCTTTATACAACGCCATGATCCCTTCCGCCCTCACCGTCTTCAAAGCACAATCAACCGCCCCTTTATACGGCGGCTCCTTCCCCGCCACCACCTTCATATTCATCACCCTCGTCTTAATCACATCCACAGGGTTCGACGCAACCGACGCCACAAACCCCGCGGCGAAACTCGACGTCACGTGGGTCCCAAGCCCATCTCTCAACAACCCATTCTCCAAAATCGTCTCTTTCACCGAGTCGTACGTAGCCAACTGCGACGCCGTCACGAGCATCGCCCTGTTTATCGTCATCGACGATCCTCTCCACAGAGAGGTGACGCCTTCGCCGCGGACCATCTGCGCGATCGCGTCCAAAACGCTTTTGTAGTTTCTCCGATCCGCCAAAGGGAGACGCCCGTCGGCTTGCATGCGCACCATGGCGACGTCCGCCGGGTTTCCGACGGCGGCTCCGATCCCTCCGGCGATGAACCCGGCGGCGAGTTTGCGGGTTAAAGGTATGGACTTTGTTTCCGGGTCGGTCCATTTGGTTTTCAGGATGTCGTATAGACCCATACGGGTTGTGGAGTAGAGAGTCTGACGGAGAACGGTGGCGGAGACGCCGGAGAAGAGAGCGCGTGTGCCTTCTTGTCGGATGATGCGAGATCCGATGCCGATTATGCCCACGCGCGGAGGAGGAGGCGCGTGGAGGGAGGAGGATGTCTGGAAAGCAAGAGCTGGTCGGAGATTTGTCTGGACTGGAGCTGATTCGCCTTGGAGTTGCATTCGGACTTTGATTAGATCAAGCGGGTGGGTGGAGCAACCCGCTACGATTGATGCGATGCCTCCTTCAGCGAAACCCTTTAGACCCATTTTTTTCTTTAGCAAATCGAAAACTGAAAATTCAGAAAGGTTAGAATTTTATTCCGAGAAAATCTGAGGGAAAGTTTTTTAAAGGTTAGATTTTTTTGTTTTTAAAGAGACCAGTTGGAATTAGAGCTGATCTCACTGGAGATTAGGAGATGAGAATGGAGACCGAAAGCTATAGAAGAAGAATGAGGAACTTGAGGTCTCTGAGACATATGCCGTTCAGACAATAGTTTTTTTTGTTGAGAGAGAGAGAAGTGGTGAGAGATTGATGGTTGTGAGGTTGGAGAGGAAGAGAGAGGAGACAAGTGTTTAAATAAGGGATGAAAAGCAAGCGCGGAGACTTGTTTACTACTAGTTGCATATTCCCCGCGCAAGCGCGGGGCCGTGATTATTATGTTTGCGTGTATTTTTTCGATTGTTGGTTTAGTGGAATCTTCTAATGACACCAATTAATAATGAAATGGAAAATTTCATGTTTTTATATCGTATGTCAAAACTTGATATAGTTCTATATTTATAGTATTTATATTTGTATTAAACGATTTATCAATATGAAAATAACCTTAATTAAGTTAATATTCGTTGTTTAAGTTTCATTAGATAGGTTTTTATATATGGTTTTTTGTAAGTTTCGGTTTTGTTCATAAATGATGTGGCATTTTTATCTACGGAGTCATCGACTCTTGGAATTCATTCGCCGAAGTCTGGAGTCGGTGGTGAGAAATATTTTCAATGAAATTATAGTAGTTATTAAAATGTAAGAGAAAT